ATGCATTGCACAACTACAAGCTGGACGGAGAGAACAAAATTAAGGTATGTAATGCACGTCAGCCGGACGAGGACCACCTAACAGAGTATTGCAGATTACCTTCGCCCGCAAGTAGAACGTACACTGCGTTCGCCTTATTATTGTATACGCGGAGTGTAAGATCTTTTGTAATGATGTGCTAATGTTTTTTTTTTTTTTTGCACTGGACTATGTTACCAATACCTGGGCAGCTGTGCAACGATATTTTGAGCATTTTTCTGGAAAGCATAGACGTGTGATTTCCTTTGGCATCGTAAGGAGAGACTGCGAGACTACCCAAAGGAAGTGCACGTGCTAAGGCGGCTTCTACTGTACCTTCGAGCGTGTCAGTCACTTCCGGCGTTAGCCTCGAGGCGCGACGGTTTGATCCTGAGACTGGGCCCACGCTGAACGTTGAACCACTACCATCGATAAACGCATCAACCAAAGTCTCGCACCATTACAATACTTGTCAGCGACATGCCTATCAGTTTCGTGCGTGAAAAAACCTCAACTTTTTTTTATACATCTGACGTTTGGGATAGGACGACGACGACGACGCATACCCTGAAGAGGACGTTGTTCAAATCTATCTGGCAAGTCAAGTCTCTGGTATGCCTCACGTTTGCTCTCCATTTCTTCTTGACTATCCTCTGTCTACGATAGATCACGGCTCCCAATCAGCCCCCGGATCGTCAAGATCCTCTAGTACCTCTTCCTCGATTGACGTTCAAATGGCGAACAACCTCCGTCTCGAGAGTCCCCAGCGCCCTTCTCGGCCGTCTGACGCGAGGAATGTAGGCGTGAAACGTCCTATTACACACGCCGAGTCCTTTTCGATCAATCCCACCAAAGTCCGGAGGACGGGATCCGGGGTCGCGTGCGCAGGGTCGTCACCGGCCAGTCAGACCTTAGACGCTGACACCCTAGACCCCTATATCATCGCCCACGACCAGTATATACAATCTCTACTTGACAAGAAGCGAGTTCCGTGGGGGACTATTTTTGAGCTGGCTCGCGGTGTTACAAATGGTTCGTGGCTTTGGTCCGATGTAACCGGAGAGCGCGTAGATCAGTTGTGCGGCACTAATGCTGAAACTGCACCTCGGGTCTCTAATGTCATGACTGGAAAGCGGACAAATGCATCTGCGGAAGCCATGGAGGTGTGGTACGTAGGGTATGAGTGTTTTGGCTGAGAGACCGTATCTCACCAGTTCATCTTAGGGTGGAGTACGATCGTGAGCAAGCTGCCATCCTGGAGAACAAGGGGCGCGGGCTGGGAGGGATGGGTCCGTGGCATGGGAAGGATGGATGGTATGGGGGAAGAATACAGCAGGTAGCGAGGCTAAAGGAGGCAAGGAGTAAAGGGTCCTTCTACATTCAGCTCGAAAGGCCCGAGATTAGGCGCTCCCACCGCTTTGCACGGTATCTGGGATCACGGCGAATCCTTCAGGTCAGGGTTCCTGACAGCTTCCTTTACCAACAGGGGGATGAGGTACGGAGATTCTTTGGATGTCACAAATTCATCCTTTGTGGTCGAGTTTTCCTTCCATTCCATGCGAAGGAGGGTGGAGTCTATATGGTGGAGAACAATCAAGGTTTTGGGCACCAGTGCAACCCCCAGGATGGTGACCATTACAGGTTGCCCTTCATGGACTTCATAAACTGGCACAACCCCTTCAAGCTGAATAGCCATCAGGTATGGTAAACTGCTCTGCGCATTTGTGGTATGCTCATGTTCAACACAGCCAATTAGTAAATGGTCTGCTCGTTGGGCATTAGGTTTGTCCACTTCCGTCCCAACAATTGCCTTTGAAGAGGAAAACATATGTTTTATTGATGATGAATGTAAGTCATTGTCTGCAATGTTCTTGAGCTTCAATTGATAAGGCTGGGTGTCTTAAGATGTGACTCCTGCTGACTGGGGTGGTGGAAAAGCCCCAGCTGAGAAAACTTACACTGATGGGTGTGGGTGGATGAATGGGGCTGGTCTGACTCAGATCATGAGGAGGATGGGATATAGCAGTAGACCAACTGCTGTACAGGGTAGAATTGGAGGGGCAAAGGGTATGTGGATGCTTCATCCAGACCCTGAGGAGCAGGTTGCTGATGGAAGGTGTAAAATTTGGATTCGGAGGTCACAAAATAAGATCTCCCTTGCCAAACCACTCCCTGAGTCCCAAAGAATGTTTGAGTTGTTGGCTCCTTCAAGGGTAACTGGGCCATGTCAATTATCAGCCCAGACTCTGGTCAATCTTACTCACAACAAGGTTCCCCATGAAGTAATCAAGAAACTCATGGCTCATGGCCTCCATGAGGAGGTAAAAGAACTGATTGATTGGGGGAGGCCTGAGTCTATGCTTAGGGTCTGGAGGGCAGTGGAAAAAGCAGGGCATGTTGTTATCAGTCGTATTCAAAGAAGGACTGCAGGGGAAGCACGTGCACTGGGTATAGGGAGGCTAAGGCCATGGGACAACCAGGAACAGCAGGATGAAGATGAGGGTGAGGTGGACAAGATGGAGATGGATGAGGATGAGGAGCAAGTTTATGAATTGGGGAAGGTTCCAATGCAAAAGTTTGTGGGGAGGACACCCTTTTCAGGCCAACCACTTGGCTTGTATGAAACAACACTGGAATTGCTCCAAGCTGGCTTCCATCCAATGAAGCTGAAGCTGTTGTTCAGAAAACTGGAGGTAGTCCTAACAAAATTGCTTGACAGCTATGTGCAAAGGTTTCACATCCCAGTGACTGAGTCAATTGAAGCATATGTTGTACCAGGTATAGATATTTCATTCTCACTGTATGGGTTTTTGTACTGATGGTGGTATAACAGACCCATATGGTGTCTTGAATGAGAATGAAGTTCACTTTTGTTCTTCAGAGCCATTTATTGATCCAGTCACTGGTGTTCAACAAGACACTATAATTGGACCTGTTTTGGTAAATTTACCATGTAAAAATCATTGCCTTACTGAAAAATTCCATAGGTCTCAAGAAATCCAACAAGGTTACCATCAGATATTCAGAAGGTATGAATGATTATGCACACATGACCTTGTGAAATAACATAGCCCCTCAGGTCACTGCAATCAGTCATCCAAAGCTGAGCAAGTATTTTAATGTCATCATATTCCCTGTCAGAGGGAAGTTCACTCTTGCAAGTTACCTTGGGGGAGGAGGTAAGTTCATGGTATTTTTGGAAGGTCTCAGATGTTTAATTGAAGTGTTTAGATTATGATGGAGGTGTGTTTTAATATGCTGGGTATAGTAAAACTGCACACTAAGCTGGCACTCTTTAGACACAGTCATGCTCACTTGGTGCAGAGAACTTGTGGATAATTTCAAGACCTCTTCCCGCTGTGAGGAGCCCAAGGGAGTCAGGGAGGCTTTTGAAAGAGAGGTAGAACATGTCAAAGATTTTGACAAGAGGATTTCTGGCTTGTCACTCAAAGAGGCACAGCAAGCCTTGCAGAAGGTTCTCCTCTTGGGCCTGGCAGAAACAAAAGTTGGCTTGTACTCAAAATTCCATGACCTGGCAGTTTATACAAAGGGGTATGCCAGTCAAGAGGCAATAAAACTAGCATTTATGTATGTGGAGAATTTAATCTATGGAACAAGACTAATTGAGAAACCAGGTTCACCACTTGCCTTGATTCCAGCAAAACAGGTCTCAGAGTCAAGGGGACTGTGTTTTCTAGAGACAGGAAAACTTGGGGTTCAGACAAGCCATGGTATGTCCACACCTTGGGGGGAAACAAGGGAGAGTCAAGTGTGGTCAAGAGAGAAAAACCACCTTTCATCTTGGATGCCTTGGTTGAATATGGGCATGCTCTGAAACAAAAACATCTCAAGGAGTATCAGCAGCATTGGGATTACCAGCAGGATGAGGAGGTTGATGAAGACTTGGCTGGCCCCTGGAAAGCTGCTAGAGCTAAGGCTGATCAGGCCAGGGCAGCAAATCTCACAGTATTTTCCACCAACCTGGAGGATATTGAAATGCATGTGCTGGGAGTGTTGGATGCCTATAAGAGGGTTGTTGCTGCTGCAAAGGACACAAAGGAGGAATCCAAGTCAAGTTCATCCAGTGATCCCTACACTGAGGTGGCTTGTAGATTTTTTCAGAAGCCAGCCTTTAGAGAATTCCAAGCATTCTCAGATAGGGATGTGTGCATTATTAAAGCTTCCTTTGCTGCACTCAAATCAGCCAATTTTGCCTTTTCTGTTGCATTCAAAGATTTATGCAGCATTAAAGCACAGGCATCAGGTAGTGTGCCTTTCACACACCTGTTTGCTGAATCCATGACCATTCCAAAAAAAGTCACCCAATCCATCTCTTGAATAGCCACAACCATACAAAAATAATGTATTGTTTGGTAGACTACTGGACTATATTAGCTAAACTTAGAGGTTCACTGCAAGCATTTTACAATTTTCTTTGCTGAAATAGATTAAAGGAAGAAAAACCATTTTATCATGCATGTTTTCAAGCAAATCCCAGTGTAATATTTCCTTCTTCTTGTTCATGTTACCCAAAAAGTTAAACAATGCTTGTGGTAGGGCATATCCTAACATTGCCAATATGCATACTACAGGCCATGCTGCATAGGTATGTGATCAAGCAGGTTTATACCAAACAAGGGCCACATTTTCCCTCATCAGAATTTAAGTTGTTCACTTCCACCTGGCTTGCACTCACCCCATGCATTATTATCTTCTATAAAAAAGGAACTACATATGGAACATGAGAATTCCAGACACAACCAGACCCTCTTCATTTGTTAACTTTGTCTCTCTGCAGATACCAATAACACTGGAATCATCTGCAGCAGATGCTACCAAATGATCAAGCAAATTTGGCATTACTTGCTGAAATGGACATTAGCTTCTAATGGATCAACCCACAAGAACAGGCATATGGTATCCACATCAACTGTGAATATGTATTTGTAGAATGCAGGATTGATCCCAATGACATTCCTCATCTAGTGGTATATCTCCAGTTCCAATGGTGATGTCAGAGCATTGAAATGAACACAATTGAGGAACTGCATCAAGAGAACTTGACTGTCATGTTTGTGATGGTTTCCAGGCTTGGATTGCTCTGTCAGTTTCCCAACTTTTACTACAACCATATACCTGAAACTCATTGTTGCAGTGACTACACTGATGCAAGAAGTGAAGAGTGCACTCATGGGACAACATAACCCTTGGACTCATACAAACCAGAGTATACCTTTCCATAATTGAGTTGCTTGGAACCTTCTCCAATGGATCAGAACATCAGAGGCTCTGGATCGACTTTTGGGTCAATGCCAAGGATGTTAAGAATGATACAGGGGATAGTCCTGTCATTACTGCTGTTTGTGATGTTTCCATCACAGATAATAAAGAGAAGATTGCATTTATTGTTGCACCTTAGGCACCAGTTTCTGGCAGCATCTCTGGTCTTTCAGATATAGTTTTTGTGATGTGAATGATGTATCTAAGAGACCCACTATCCACACTGGCTTTACCTGGCTTGTGCTAAGAATAGATGTGTGAATCAGTTGAGGAACTTATACCATATATATCCCACTTAATCATCATCACCACCTCTACCTTCCCTCCTGAAACCCTCATGATGCCACCTCCAGAGTGTATCCAAACCATCTAGTGAGCTTGCTCACAATGCTTGAGGTGAGCATCCTTTGGATGATGGTCTGCACCTGTCTGCAGTTGCAGGGTTACCCCAGTTCTCATGGTGTGTTTATCCTCTGTGATATGTGTTCCTATTCTGCAACCTGGTGTGTGCTTCCCAGCACCAGCTTGGGCATGGGCCAACATTTCTTGAGTCTGAAGAAATGGAAGGACAAGTGGAAAATGCAAACTAATGTTGTCATTCCAGGTCAAGATACCAAATGGCAATGTCTACTTCAACATTTGAGCAATCTTTTGAACCTCAAATCATCCCCACCACCTGTGCCATCTATGACTAGCCCCTCCCTGCTGGAAGACAGTGCCATCAATGATGCTTGTGCTATTCAACACTTCAATCATGTTGATGAACCATCCTTTGATGAGGATCTTGACTATTCTGCTTGACATGTGGCTTCAGGCTGGCTTTATGATAGCTGGACAGCAGTCATACCTTCAATTATCGACTCATATCTCCAGTACTTGACCAAAACAACTGGAAAACTGTTAGTGGGCTGCATTACACTGATCTTTAATTGTCACAGCAGGTGTGAACCAAGGTGCTCTTCCCTCCTCTGCCTGTATTTTGATTGTTCATTGCTGACTTTGTATGTTTGCTGCACACTGACATATTTCTAGGTTTGCTACTGTGATTATCCTAAGCTGTGCATGTGCACCACTTCCTCAAGTGCTCCTGTGTTCAGGCCTCTTCCCTACTGCCCCTTCTCAACCATGCATAGTGATTTCTGTTGAATTACTCAGATTTTATCATGTGCTATTTGAACATTCTTGTGACTCTATCAATGCCCTGGCTTCTGCACTCAATACCAATTATGAGCACCAAGGCTTCTGCTTGACCACCTGAGGAGTGTGTGCTCGACTTATCAAAATTGTCTAGCTTATGAATGTAGTTAACAGGGTAAAATTGTACAAGAACTGTTTCATCACAGCATCAGCCATGCTGTGCAGTGGTTTGATGTTTTGCAAATACACATAGAGCATCACATAGAAAATATAATTGGCCACTGTCACGAAATCATGTCAAAGAACCTTCATCATGCTCAATCAGCTGAGGAAACACTGCCATCACCTATCCCCCCATCTTCCAACCATCAATCTCTGCTGTCCCCAGATTTATGTGCATCAATCCTTGTCCAAAGATGCCCCACTTGTTTTGCAGGTACCACATTTGGACAACCATTGAGTGAAGGTGGTGATGTTCATGTTGCTACTGATGGGAATTTTCACCATCATCATTGGTGCTCAGCAGGCAGTTGTCCCCCTTTCTATGAGCTGATGTATTTCATTCCCAAGGCTCAAGTGGATGAGGTGGGTCATTGGATTGGATGGGCACATAAGCAGTCCCCAAGACAACATTGCGTTGTAAGGAATCCACATTCCTTGGACATGTAAGCCCCTATCATTGACTGTTCCATGACTATCATTAGTCCCCAGACCACTTGCATCCACCACTGTTTGTGCACTGTCTTCCTGCCTACCTTGCTGCCTTCCCATGCCCTCACACCCTCTTGCACAAAGCTGTACCTGCAGCTGCTGTGCTCCAGTCTCATCCTTTCTTCAGACTCTTTTCTTTTTGCCATGGTCACTTTCCCTTTATGCTAGTAGTATACCCTCAGCCCCTATGCAGGCCTGTCTTGTATGTATGTGCTGTTGTGTGGCTTTCCCTTACCAGTACTCTGTCTTACTTAGGTTCTGGGTTTGCCTGGACTATAAAGCCCTGTACTTAGGTACAGAATGATACCTTTTGGCACTCAGAAGGTCATGACAAGTTTCTTTTTCACTTTGTCTACACCACATGTCTCACATACCACCATGCATGAACTACATATACCACTTGCACTGCTTGCATTGCCAGTACTACACCATGGACCACACTGTGCATGTCATGAATCGTTACTGCTATGAAGTGCTGAGTCCTGCCTTGTAGTTTCAACAGTCAAGAACCCCTTGGGACAAGCAATTCATTCCCTTCATTTTATTGTTGTTACCTAAGCCATCTAGCTTGTATTATACAGCTACTTGGACTTTTTCTACAACTGGAGCCCACCACAAGGGATTCTGCTGTTGCTTCCAGAAGGTTGCTCAGGTGCACTGCCAAATGCACTGAACTAGAAAATTTATGCCTCCACTTTCACAACCTGAACCTGTCAGAGGACTCTGACCTCTTCCACCCTGTTTCACCCATAACACTGGATCATGTGCAATTACCCACTGACATTCTGTGGGTACTACCTGCAATCACTCCTCCTGATATTTTGGCAGATTGGAAATCCATCATGCCAGATCACCTGGATCTCACTGCCCCTGATTTTCCCAGTGGTTTTATCCACTTGACTCCCCAAAGACCTGAAACCCCACCATCACCTTTAACACCCATCACATCATCTGATTCATCATCACTGATGCCCTCTTTTTCCCATCTCTTTGATGCCTCTGAATCTATACCCAGAATCCCAGCTCCATCTGCCACACTGCCATGACCACTTACTCAGTCACAGACCACCCATCAGCCAATTAGTAACCTACTGTGAGTCAAAGTGTGGTTCAGTGGTGAAAACCAACCAAAACCAACTCAAAAGATGATAAGAGTGAGTGGTGGTGTGCCTATGCAGTACCTAGATGGTAGAACCTTTGATTTGGGAGGGTTTTTTGTGAGCTACAACACTCAAAGATGAGTGCTGAGGGTTGGGGGTGCTCCTGATGAAGAAGGAGCAGGAATGCAAGAGAATGCAATGGGGTAGACTGCTGTCAGCCTACAGAAGGATGGATGGCAACTTAATTCAATGCTCTGAGCTGCACTGAGCTCAGGGAGGACTTGGAGTGAAGTAGATTGATGATAGGCAATAATAAGTGAAGTAGATGATAGTTAGACCCTTAATAAAGTCTCAACTATTGAAGCTGCTGAATGATTTACTGAGTGATGATAAAATGTGAGCAAGAGGGGCTCTCTGACATCATCTTCTTATTCAGCTATCTAAGTACAGTGATTTATATACAGTACAGGGGTGTTGCCTATGGAAAACAAAGTGCAAACACTTGGTAAGTGATTGGTAACTGATGAGTAAGGAATGTAAGCAATGGGTAATTGTCTTAGAAAGCATTAATGAGCATTGGTAAGGATAAGTAAGCCAAAAAGCAAAGAATCAGTAAGCAAAGTCAAAAGATCGGTAAGTATTGGCAATAGGTGAGTCAAAGACAGTCAGAATGTCAAAGTATGAGTCAAGTAATGTCAGAAACTGGGAAAGTGCACTGGAATTGCATTGGGGGGAGGCTGTGCATGTCACATCTTGAAGAGATCACTTCTGGGCCAAAGTGGGATGACAGAGAGGCAGCACTGATCTGATGGCAATATAGTACATCCAAAAGTGGACAGGGTGAGTCAGATGTCAACAGGGGTCAAGCTTTGGGGGTCTGTGGGGTGACAGGAGCATAGGGGATTGCAACTTTCCCCCCCTAACTGTCCTCTCAGTGAAGCAAATAAAAACTTCATGAATGAGGCTCTGTTGGAAGAGAGGATGAAGGGGGAGCATCTTCTGCTGTATCTTGCAATAAGGAGGCAAGATGTGCATCATACTCATCATGGATGTGATCAGGGAGAGTGGAGAACAGTAGATTATACTGTAGCTGTCACAATTTTGGAAGAATGATGGATGAGACTGGTATGAAGACATTGCAGGGTATGTGCTTACAGTACACAATGTTACCATAGAGGTGGTTTTGGGGTCCTATCCCAGCTATATCTGAACAGACTAATCATCAAACAGATTTTCCACATCATTTTGCAAACAGCTATAATTTGATCAATGGTATACCTAGGAGGGTTTCAGCAGTGCTTGGGGCCAAGGGTGGCCACACAAAGTATTAGATATATAATACCCATTGTTATTTGAATACCCTGCCAAAAAAAACTGACCAGATGTGTAGGTGGTGGTGTGGATTCATTGTGCAGTATCAAGTCACATGATCATAACCAAACTGGCATACATGGTCATGTGGCCCCTGGCCATCTACCCCTATTTTCTCTTGGTTTATGGATTAATATGGACTGAATTACAAGCCAATCTTTGAAAAAGTGCAAACATCTGGACAGTTCTTGAGTCACTGTATGTTAAGGGTTGGTACTTGGTCAGAACTTAGCCTCATTAAAAGTACTTCATATATTCACTGACTTGACACATGGATAAGCCTTTGTTTGCTATCTTAGGAGCTAACTTACTTTGAGGATGTGCATACCTGAAAATTCATCATTTCAAGCAGTCAAAACAATCTCCCAGGTTATTTAGTTTTGATGGATCAATTATCTGACTGTCCGCTGACTTAGGCAAGAATCACGCTATCGCACGAACAACGGTGCTTGCGCAGCATGTCGAGTTATGATTGCATGGGCACATGGTAGTAACAATATGCAGTGATAGCATAGACGAGGGAACAGTAGACAAATACACGCAGCGCGATTAAATCTTAGTTTCGTACGCTACCGGTGCCATCGTTTGTGGAGCGTTGTCGGCAACCGAAACGATGTGTGCTTCACGAGGGGCAGCGGGAATGCGCTTGAGGCACACACGTTCTTTTGGGAGAACGGCATTAATTATAAAAGATAGACACTAAAACAACGGACACATACCGCCCTTCTCCTTGGCTTCAACGTGTGCCTCGTGATTCCGCTTCACACGATCCAGAAATTCTTGTCGGCACTTCGAATGCTTGACGTGCTCGACCCGGAGGTTAACACGCTTTTCGATGTAGCGATTCCCCACCACCTTGTAAACGATCACGCCGACGGCATGTGGGGTGACGTTGTAGACGATGCCCGTTCGTCTGTTCGCCAGTAGTCAGCATAGGACGGGAAAAACAATAACAGCTAAGACGAACGAACCCATGGTAGTACTTATGGGGCATACCCTTTTGTTGTGCAGCGTTAGCCTTGATGTCCACGATGTCACCGACACGATAGTTGACCAAGTAGGTCGAAAGTTTAATTGGGCCATGGTCTAGGTGTTGCCAACTTGTATTAGCGTCGGTCCTGCGAAACGAGAAACATGAAGTTATTACCTTTGAAGCCCCGCTTGAACATGTCGCGCGTGCGCGCGCGGTAACCAAACGAGTGCGGCATCTTGATGTCTGCTCCAAAGTCTGATCAACGAAGCGGCCCCACCGAAGGCCACAAATGATACCTACATCGTTAGTGTCGGTATCGACGTCGAGAATGTCAGGCTTGAGCTTGAGGCCAAAGGGTTGACTCGGTTATCTCCGAGTGGCTTCAGTGCAACTGTACAGTTGTGGCTGCTCGTCTGTTGTCCCACCTAATTTGGTTACCCAACCGTGGACAGCTGAATCCCGTCAAGGCGACGTCTATCCTCAAGAAAAATGCCAAGGTACAGTCCTGCTCATGCCGCTTGTTGCAGGATGGATCTGATATGCTTGTAGAGCACCACGGAATCATAACAAAACGTGAGCCATTTCGTTCTTTTGGGATTTATACGGAAGTCTGTGTGGGGGTTTCTGGGTGCTGATGGAGTCTTGCTATTCTCTGTGGTAATTATCCAGCTACAAGGTCCCTCGTCGACCATTCGAGTCTTCCCGTCTCGATGCTGAGCTCAAGGTACCGTAAATCTCATATGATCTGGGGAGATACAAAAGCGCTGAAGATGTTTATTTCTACGCTCATTTAGCTTGCTGGCGAGTACGGCCTTCGCAACAAACGTGAAATCTGGCGTATCGGTCTCGTCCTTTCGAAAATTCGTCGTGCTGCTCGTGAGCTCCTCAAGCTCGAAGACAAAGACCCTAAGCGACTTTTCGAGGGTAACGCCCTCATCCGTCGTCTTGTCCGGATTGGTGTCCTCGACGAGACTCGCATGCGGCTTGATTACGTGTTGGCATTGAAGGTCGAAGATTTCTTGGAACGTCGGCTGCAAACTCAGGTGTTCAAGACTAACCTTGCAAAGAGTATTCATCACGCCCGTGTGCTCATCAGGCAACGCCACATTCGGTAAGTCAGAGCAAATGATACGCCAATGGCTGAGCACTCATTCCTCTCAGTGTTGGAAAGCAAATCGTTAATGTGCCATCGTTTGTGGTCCGTCTGGATTCACAGAAACACATTGACTTCGCCCTCACCTCGCCATACGGAGGTGGACGTCCTGGTCGCGTCAAGCGCAAGCGCGCTGCTGCCGCAGCCAAGAGGGAAGAGGGTGGAGACGAGGAGGAGGAAGAGTAAACGCTTCACTATTACTTATATTAGGTTGTATGTCATTTCCTACATCACGATGTCCTTCCATGCTATGGACATATGCCAAAACACTCCATGACCTCACTTCTGTTTACTTCTCCGATAGTGAATCACTGAGACAGTTAGATCGGTTGGCATGCAATGCAGGAAGCACGTAAGACCA